AGCGCACTGGGCCTGTCTAGGGGAACAAATCGATAGGCATCTTAAAAGCCACATTGATTGTAGGGAGGGGAAAAAACACCAAGGGGGAAGGGAAGATAGATAGAGACAGGCAGAAGGAGAGAGAGCAGAGGTGTGATAAGAGATGGTCCATAGAAGGAACAAGTACAAGTGCAAAGACTCAAGTTAGTACAACAATAACTGGACAATTGTTTTTAATGGAGCATCTCAAACTCGTTCTCACGTAACGGTAGTCCTAAAGCAATTTATTCACAAGACTTAGTTTTATTTACCTTAGCTTAACTGTGGGCTAAATGAATCTAAAGGAATTCAATGGGAAATGGGTTTTCTCTATGGGCTGCAGTTACCTCCCAATGCTTAAAGACACTAGGTGAGTTTGCGAACCTAATAGCCTATATATTCTGTAATAAAAATTCAATTGTTAGTTTGTGTTATGCTGCGTGAACAACCATGCCCATTTTAGAGTATCTAAGACCCAATGAAGGAGCAGACGGAGAGAGTTTTGTGATTTGAGGGAAACTTGTAGTAGTACAGCCTGCAGTCACAGCTCAAACACATTTGTCTTTATACATCTCTCTTTGAATAATTGTCTGCCAGAACCTCAGTAAATCTGAATACAAGCGGCCCATACTGCCATCACAACGTCACCAAAAGCATAACTTATATTTATGGATAATAATCCCATATTGAGCGATTGTGAGAATCAATTGTTTGAGTGAATGTCTAGTGATGTTTTGTTACAAGAAACAGGGCAAGAAAAGAAATGTAAATGTTTCCTGTACTGTAGAATTGAAGACACAAAATGCAGACAAACAATCAAAGTAAAGTTCAGTAGAAAAGTAGAGAAAGTCGAGAGCCACTTGTAAAAGGTGGTCACAACAAAAGTGTGTGGAACAGAGAGAAGCAGACAGACAATTACCAGAAAAAAGAGAAACGAAATGTGCTGCAGAAAGAGAGACAGTGGTAAAGAGACGAGAGCGGCCGCGTGAGTGTGTAAATAGAGTTTAAATGTGCAGTAGGAGCCAAATTCGCCTTGGGATTGCCTAGGTAAACAAGACAGCCGCGGCTTTGCTGGAGATGCTAATAAAACAGAGCTGTTCTTATCAGCCCAGCAGATGGCCTAACCCATCACATCTACTCAAACAGGCCTAAGCCATCAGCATTCTAATGAAATTATTTATGATCGAAGATTATGCTCCAAACCTTGAACATACAATGGCAGCTTTACTTTCAGGAAGAGATGAGTGCAGGTGGGACAGGGAGGTTTATGACGGCACACTGAGCGAGAGGCTATAGAGAGAGAGAGGAATGCATGTTTACGAACACAGGCGAACAAAGGAGAGAGGAGGACGTCAGGGAGGCACACAAACACACGCTGGGTGTAACTGGTGGTTTGTTGTAGAGGACGCACTGCCCCTCCTCGTCTGACCCCGCTCACACGGCGCGCTCTCCCCTGACAGGGGGCTGCTTAGACGGCTTAGCGTAGGTCAAGCACCTTGACCAAGGGCACAGCCGGACGCTCGCTCCCCTCTGCCCCGCACAATCGCTTTTCTGTTCCATAGAGACAGGTGTTTGGAAATACAGTAGTAAAAATCAATGAGGCACGGGCTAGGCATTAATTAATTATACTATTAAGTCAGGGGATTTTATTTAATTATTATCCTAAGAGAGAGGTTTCTACTTTTAACGATTAAAACTATGTTTGATGGTTTTGCTTTTTGTTTGAGACATAACATGTTTTGGGAAAGATATGAAAGTGGGAAACATCATGCAACATTCAGGAAAAAGGTTTAAAACAATAGAAATATCTACAAAATATTATTGTATTGATCCCCAGATATTCAAAGAGACAATTGTGTTGTATTTTGTAACTTTATTGGAAGTGGAAAGGTTTTGTATGTTTTTTAGATAGAGCTGTGAAATAATTTCATAAGCAGGATAACCAGCTTTACTTATAAATGTCATATTTAAAGTTATTTGCCGATTATAAGATTAAAACATTAACCCAAACAGTCAGGGAAATTCTTAATTTAAAAAGAGGACAAGATTCAATTAGGTATTCTGATTGAATTAATTCATTGTTATTAATTTGGGGTTCTCTTAACTCTTAAGTGACATTAACAGAAAAAGGAGTGCTGTGAAATATTCCATTCATTTTGTTCTGTAATAGATGGAGATAGACCTGGGGGCGCACAGTGTCAAATGGGGCATTGTATTGGGGTGACTGGAGAATATGAAGAATTACATGGGGAGAGCAGAGACTATGGATGAGGAAGTAAGTGTAGGTAAGGGGCGCGACTGCACAGAGAAATAAAAGACAAAAAAGGGAATAAATGGGGTAAAGAGAAGGGAGGACGGATGGTGGATTGAGGGAGGGCAGAATTGATCTGAGAATGGTTAGTATGCAGCCCCCTCGCTCGCCCCCCTCTCTCCCTCTCCTCTCCCATCAGTCAGTGAGGGGCTGAGGGCTCACAGACTGTGTTGTGGACCACTGCCCGGATGCCTCATACATATTAAAGCCCACTGCTATTATTTATATCATGTCTCTGCCTCCCCTGCCCGCTCCCCCCCATACATCCATGCACGTGCACATATACCTTCAGACAGACAAGTTCTCACACAAACTGTGGCAGTCTAGTCACATCTCCCATCTGAATGATCTGGGCGCGTCTCCGCGTGCGCAGACTCCTATACCTGTTTTTATGTCTGACTCATCCTCCATGTCGCTCCATCTTCTTCTCATCTCCTCATTTTTCTGTCTGTCTGCCTCTTTCACTTGATGAAGTGGTGTTGTTCGGATTGAACTTAAGTTTCATCAAAGACAGAATTCCTATGCTCATGCCAACAAGCAAAAAAACAAGCTCTCTGAATCGTAATACCTATTATTTATGTCTTCACACAAGCAAAAATACTTCAAAATACTAAATCAAAGGGTTGATTGGAAAGTGTTTTAGGAAACTTTACTTTGTTTTAACCCCTAAGACTAAAACGCACAAATCCAATTATATTCATCCATTTAGTAATTTTATATCATACTCATAACAGGCATGGGGCAAGGTCATTCTAGAAATAGAAACATGAAAAAGTGTACAGAGCTCGTATCAAACTATTAGACTGACAGGTAACATTTTGAAATGAGTAAAATGAAATGACACTATAAGTAGTGGACACTGTAACATCAACATCTTCAAGTGCATTAGCAGAGATGATTCTATATTGACAATTAGAACATTGATCAAGGACAACATCTACAGCTGGTCAAGGATTTGGAAATCATATTATTCTAAAAAAAACTGCTCCTCTGCAATGTCATGAAGTTAATCAATAAAGAAATGACACTTGACTTTGAGTGTTTTTGTGGTCTAGATGATTCTTGATGTCCACTCTGAGATCAAAAATATGGGAGGGTACTTTGCAGTCCAATCTTTATTCATAAACCCTGCTAGCATTTTCCCTCATCTACAGTAAGATTTAAAAAAAATTGTTTCTTGATGTAATAAGTAGCAAAAGATGCCCAAAGCAATATTTATTCAGTGAAATCAAACCCGGACCATTTGCTTGTCAAAACTCCAGTCTCTGAATGTGTAAATGCAAACGCTTCATTTTTACGCATTAACGAATGAGTTTTGATGTCAGAATCAAAAGGAATGCTGAAGAGATGGCCTGCACCTAGTGTAATTATAGAGCCCAGTCTCCGCGCCAAGGCCAAGGCGCTTAAAGATGATATTATCAGGGTGAAAAATAAGGCTGTAGTGACTAAAACTTAACGATCGTGTTCAAGAAAAGTTAATTTGTTGTGGTGGTTTGGATAAAAGGTCATGAACTTTTAATGACTTCTATTGTTGTTGTCTCATCGGGGAATGCCTTTGTTGATTAGTATATAGTGTTATTTATTTACACACATATGCAGCTGGGTGTACACCACACTGTATCTGTATAGCCGTGTTTCTTTGCATTTCCTGTCAGCAAAAGTAATTATCTTCACATAATTGTGTGATGTGAATAATAAAATAGATTAATTTTTTTCCTAAAACGTAGAATGATCACATGATGAACAGACCAGCGGCAGAACAGGACCAGCAGTGGGGCAAGCTCCAATTAAAGAGCCATAAGTTATTCACCAGAAAGCCAGAGAAACATGCTGCCATCACTTATCCTTCCTCAGTCAGAAGGATTTTCTCTATCTGCGCCCCTCATCGTCCATGTCTCCGATTCCTCCGCCTGCTCCCACCTTTCCTGTTTCCCCGAGCTCGCCGTGATGTCCTTGAGGGCCTGCTGAAGCTCCCATAAAGCCTGCAGTAAATGGCTCTAATCCGGTAATAAATGGCTGTGTCCTACAGACAAGGGTGTGAGGCTGCTGCAACCATGGCTTTATCAGATGGAATAGTATTGGCACGCACATGCACGGTCCCGCGCCGCTATTCACAGATGTAATGGAAGCCACGCACCCCTCCCCCGTTTGGGCTCCTCGCACTCATCTATACCACTTCAGATGGAATCACACCTGCTCTGATTGTGCCGCCTTTATGGATGCTATGCAAGAGCGCCACTATTATTACCTTTAAATGATTAGAGATTTGACAATGATGCATTATGATGATGGGATCATATAGAGCTGTATGAGGTGTTGCGCGCTCCCCTAATGCCTGCTGGGATAGACTGCCACAGTAACTGAATGAAAAGAGCAGGGAGGGAACAGCAAGAATAGTAATGTGACCTTTGGAGATACTTGGAGTTCACCTGTTTTTAATCAGCAAATACAATTGATTTTTATCTGCCCTGGTTTTATTTGTGTAATAGCGTAGTCACTTCTCGGCCCTGGAGACTGAACTTAAATGTACGTGCGAGCGTTGGTGTTTGCGGGAATGTCTTACAACCTCCCAGTGCTTGTTGAGTTGTAACCCAGAGCGGTGCTTTCATTTTTCTGTCATAACATGTATTGATTTTTCCTGTGTGCACATCCGCGTGTGTTTGTGCTTCAGGTGGAGCTGACCGGCAGCAGTGTGTTCGACTACATCCACCCGGCGGACCACGTGGAGATGGCCGAGCGGCTGGGGATCAGGCCTCATCTGCGGGCGGAGGCGGGCTGTCATACGGGCCCTGAGAGCGCCTCCAGCTCCGCATCCACCTCCTCTTTAGCAGGCACTCCTGAACCTGGTATGGACACCCTCACTTTTGTGAGGAGCTGTTTTATTACTTTAAAACTAGATCACCTCCAAAATCTTTTTCACAAATCTGTCCATAACGTTTTGAATCAATAACCACTGAATACAAAAAAATATATATATATTATTTTGGGATAGGAAATATTATCACAAGTGTGCCACAGGGCATTTGATGACATTTGTGGATCTTAATTCACCACAGTGGTACAATGCATCCCTACAATCCAAATATATAGAAATGATATAAAAACAGACGCTTGCCAACCTCTACAATAGATGAAGATTTGTTTTTATGTTTTTTAAGCTGCTGTGTGTGTTCAAACCATAGACTGTATATATTAACGGACAGAGTCACGCCTATCTCCGCCGTTCTAACTATTGGGCGAAAAAATGTGCTCTTCTGGAGCAATCCAAAATGGCCGCGAGTGGTCCCGCCCACAAGAAAATTGTGAAAAAACGCATCTGTGCATGCGTCAGCCGGCGCAGCTCCATTCATTTGAACGAGAGACTTACAAAATTCACAGCAAGTAAACTAGAGTGGACCAAAAAAATCCACCCCCCTCAGCATTGACACACATGTGGAACGGAGCTTTGGGCCAAGAGCCAACTTTTGGTCCATCCTGTAAAGACGTTTTTGAGAGGTCGGAGAGGGCTAATTCTACTTCTGGGTCCACCCCCATCGGCCCGGGATGGTATTGCAAGCATGTCAGCGCACGTCATTTTGGACACTTTTGAGCTGGGACCCTCCCCCACTGGTTCAAACAATACAAATCTAACAACTGTATGTATTAAAAATCCATCTAACTTCTTTGCTCTCAAGCAAAGAATAGCTTTCACATTCATGTATTTTTGCCTCTGTCACCTTTAGATCTGATCCTCTCTCAGCCAATCAGCTCTCAACCCAAAGTGTCAAATAGTGATTAACACAGGGATCTTTCTTACATGTATGCAAAAAAGATTACATGCTTTCTAATAATATAAAGATAGCAAGATTTTAACTTTTTACAGTAATGGGAGAGACATGTATCCTGTATGAAATAGGTACCCCAGCTTTGAGACTAGCCATGAACATGGAACTGTTGAGTTTTAGTCGAAGTGTAAGCTTTGAGCTCAAACTTTAATTCTCTTTGCAATCCTCCTTCTATTCTGTGATGAGATTGCAATTAGAAAACATCTTTCTTAAATCACCAACATTTGCTCATAGACACTATAGTTTTTCAGTCTCAGTTGCAAAGTCCGTATTATAATTATCTTCAATAGCTTACTAGCCATTTTGGAGTTTTTATTTTGACACATTTTTTTTCCTTTACAGCCGCTCCATCGAGTCCTCACTCACACTCAGCCGATGACTCGCCCGACCGCGGCTTCTTCATCCGAATGAAGTCAACCCTGACCAAAAGGGGCCTGCATGTAAAATCATCAGGATACAAGGTCTGAATGGGAGATTTACCAAATGACTCTATCTGTGGTATTTGTCATTGTGCATATTTCCCTGTGTCATTTACCTGCTTGTTCGCCACCCAGTTACACGATGATGAGATTTGTGTCACTATGTTTTCACTGCCGGTGCTTAACGGCCCCTCGAGGAACTGAGTTTCGCGGTGTTTTATGACTATGACCTTATTTCACACTGGACGGCTGCACACAACAGCCTCCTCATGCAACCAGAGCACTCTGTTGGGCTTTAAAATCTACATTTGTGGCTTTTCACACCTGTTTTGTCATAATATTTTCAGTTGTGGGATGTAAAAATTAAATGTAAAAATTATGACAAGAATGTGATCAGAACTCTTTGGATAATTTTGGCGTATTTTTTTGTTTCGGGATTTGTTGTTTAGTGTAATGGACTTATTACCAAATGTGATGCCGGTTAAGATAGAAAACGCCCCTGGAGAGAATGTTGATTGTGTGTACATGCAGACTAGTCAGTACACACTTGTGAAACGCTTGTAACTTCACTAGGACCAGACCACAACATTAAAATGCTCATTGATAGAAGCTTAATGATGCTGGGTGAGACTCAGGGTGTGTGTCTGTCTCAGCAGACCTGATCTGGCCTCCCCCCCAAGAGGGTAAGACAGATGAGAGACATGGGTGGGGGAATGGGGAAAGCTTTATTAAATGTCTTGTAGGTATTAGAGGAGCCAAGGAAATGATAAACTAGAAAACCATGTGCCAAAAGGACCTGTTTTTTTATACTATAAAACCAGATCACCTCCAAAATCTTTTTTACAAACCTGTCCATAACGTTTTGAGTTTTGTTGCTTACTAACTAAAACAGACTAGTAAACTAAGATGAAAACCTAACATCTGTGAATGATTTTACCGTTTCGTTTTTGAGCCAAACTTTAAGTAGGTTAGTAGTACTTCTAATCAAATATTTTATTTTTTGCTCCAGTATTAGTGCTTATATTTTACTGTAATTATCTCTGCCAGGTGTTAGGTTCTACTTTTCATCTTCATGAAAAGTATATTTCAGTCAAGTTCAGATGTTTTATACAGATTCAGTCCAGTTGGTAACGTTACATCACTGAATTGTCTTTGAATTGACTTGACTGCGTATTCCATATAATGATTATATTAGACAACTGTCTCTCAAAAGTTTCCTGTGAGTTTCATGTATCACATTAGGGCAAACGATTTGGTCAAAATATAAATGAACACATTTTCATTTCATTTGTTGTAATAGTAGCATTCCAAAGCCTTCAACTGTAATTATCTATTTTAGCATTTATTCCACTGTTTTGTGTTGAGATTGAGGTTTATTAGGATGTCTGCTTGGAAAAATGTTACTTAATTGTCATCTGCTAATTCCAATGAATCTATTGAAATTCTTTATTTAATCTCTTGCAGCCGTACATTACATACTTGGCACATAATCTCTTAAAGCTGGAATACATGTATAATAAATGTTGTACACAAATCAAGCCACCACACACTGTTTTTATCAGGTTATAAAACATGTTATCTTTTGCACACACGTAATAAAGACCCCTACGAGTCACTATTCGACTCTTTGAGCTGAGAATTTAACTTCTCTGTTTAAAAAATCTGATCAAAAAGTGGGACAGAGACCAAGAGTGCAAGTGATAGCTAGTGATAGAGAGCGAGGGACGAGTTAGATGGACCTAAATGTTGATGGTTTGAAAATTGGGTCCACATTTAATACCTGAGCCTTGTGTTGTCCAGGTGATCCACGTCACCGGCCGTATCCGCTGTCGGCCAGCTCTGGTCCCGGGCTCGTCACGGTCGGTGAGGCGCCCGATGGGGCTGGTGGCATTGGCGCACACCCTCCCCCCCTCCACACTCAACGAAGTGCGCATGGAGAGTCACATGTTTGTGTTCCGCGTCAACATGGACCTGCAGATCACGTACTGCGAAAACAGGCAAGTTACCACCGAGGAGCGAGTGTGCGCAAACTCCCAAGCAGCTCATATCTGTCATTACAAAATGCCACAAGTCGTGCAAAATACAAGTCATGTATTTTCATGAGCAGTTGGCAGTGCACTCGGCCATGTGGTGGTTTGTACGGACACATCTGTTTCGGTTTAGTAAACAAATCGGTTTTTGTTGTTTCGTTTTTTTTGTGGCAGAATCTCAGAGTATATGGATCTGACTCCAGCAGAAGTTGTGGGACATACGTGCTACCACTTTGTGTATGTGGAAGACCTGGAAAACCTCCGCCAGAGCCACGAGGACTGTGAGTACATTCACCAGTCAGGGGCAAAAGTACTTTTCCTCTGTGGTTATTATAGAGAGTCGAAACACTAGAACATAGAGAAGTCTTCAGTATCGAGGATCCTCTGATCGATCCAAACATTCCCTCGGTGTGGGGGGGGTAGAATGTGCACTATAAAACTATAACACTATTCTGAAACATATGTAATGTTTTCTTTTTCTTTTTAAATATAAACTAAATTAAATACAAATATAGCATAAAAATCAATTATTATTTTATTTGGTCTTCTTTTGGGGCTCCCTTGAAGAGACTCTGAGGACCCCATTGGGCCCCGGACCCCATGTTAGGAAGCATAGCATTGCAATAGAATTTCCAATTAATTACAATTGTAAGTCCCATTGTGCAGGACGGCTTGTGCACAGTCCACCTTCTCCTAAACTTTAACCTGTGGAATGTGAAATGACAATATGGTTTTAAAATGAATCACAATATGATTCATTTCTAAATGGATTGTTTGAGTGAAAGAGGAAAAATGTCCCCCTTACTGATCCATATAGATGTTAATGTATACTGTTGCTGTATATAGACAGATAAAAGGATAATGCCAGTTGAAGTAACAGTTTAGTGTTTTAATGACAGGGCTCCAGACTAGCGTTTAGATGTTGCACTGGTTTAGGTGCCCCAAAGATGTTATGTATTTCCATATTTTCACAGTTAATTAAATAAAAATTAATTTAAAATGATCAGATTTATTTTACAGTATCAATCAACTACATGTTAAAAAAAACATTTAATTGAATTGTGTGCCATTCATACATGCACAAGTGTTCTATGTTCAAAGCCAGTGTTTAAGAAACAAACAGCTGCACCTGGAGCTGCACCTGACCCTAACACTCTGGAGCCTGCTCTATGAGTATTATCATCTGATATTATAGGAAATGATAAACCAAATGATTATTTGCTTTATTTGTGAAAATATTTCAACTAAGCCGTTATTAATGATTTTAGTACATTATTAAAGTTTATTTTTGTTTAATAATGCAATTTTTATATGTTGTTTTACTTTACCTATGTCTGTGTATGATTCAATAACATTTTATTTATCTTTATAGTTTCAACTGTGTTTTTGAAATAAATACAACCTAATCATGATAGAAGGCAGATGAAATGTTTTCTATTCCATCTGTCTGGTCTAGTTGAGTTAGGTTGGAAAGAGCGCCCTCTGCTGGCCGCCTTCTGAACTGTTTCTCCTGTGTCACTAGTGCTGAGGAAAGGCCAGGTGGTCACAGGTTACTACAGGTGGCTGCAGAGACGAGGGGGCTACTTGTGGATTCAGTCCACTGCCACCGTGTCCATCAATCACAAAGCTCCCCACGAGCGCAACGTCATCTGGGTGAACGTGGTTCTCAGGTCAGTGCGGCTTCATCAAAGTGACGGCTTGCACTTTTAATATGCCGGCCCCATACTGAGCGCCCAGATCCTTTGAAGGAATAGATGATGAAATGAAGCAGGATTACAGCAACGTCCACTCCATCTAACTTAGACCAGAATATGCAGAAACATTCTAATCATTGAATTAACAAGTGTTTTGGCCTAACAAACTATGAACAGTCAGGAAGTGGAGTAATTTAGAACATGAGCTGTTTTCACTCATTGTGGCCGTTGTGTTTACTTTTGTAGGTCTTTAAATAGACTGAAATTATAACATTAGTTTTACATACAATTCTTCAGTGTTAATGATTTAAAATAAGATCAAACATCTTACAGGAGATGTTGATGTAAATAAATTTTCATACTTACAATGCTTCAGTCGTCACCGTGTATGGAGTGGTTGCAACAATATCTGAACACTGAACATTGGAAAGCGATTTGGGTGACATTGGTCTGTAAAATGTGCTATATAATAAACATTACTTACTTACTTTACTTTCAATAGTAAAGACAACACATATTAATGGTTATATTTGCTTATACATACATGCTTGTGTGTGTGTGTGTACAGTATATTGAGAGATATTTGTATAAGGGGCGGCAGTAGCTCAGTTGGTAGAGCGTTGGCCTTTGAGCCAGAAGGTCGTGGGTTCAAGCCCCGCTCAAGACTTTCACCATCGACTCCCACTGACTACTGTCGTTGTGTCCTTGGCAAGACACTTAACCTCTGGGAACACCAGCCACAGTGGGGCGGCTGCGGCTGTAAAGTGCCAAACTACTGTTGTGTCCTTAGGCAAGACACTTCACCCCCATTGCCTAGAATAAGTCTAGTGTGTGTATGAATGGTTGGTGGTGGTCGGAAGGGCCGATGGCGCATACTGGTTGCCTCGCTTCTGTCAGTGTGCCCCAGGGCAGCTGTGGCTACATTAGTAGTATATCACCACCGTGTATGGAGTGAATGAATAATGGCACATGTGAAGCGTCTTTGAGTGTCCAAAAAAAGCGCTATATAAAATCGATGCATTATTATTATTATTATAATAGAAAAAGGATTATTGACTCCAGGAATCTCCAAATACATGCAAATATTTTATTTTGAATTGCCCTCATTCCTCTTCTGAAATCCATGGATAGCGAATGTTCTGACCACTCCATCTTCAAGTGCCTTTCTGAAATCTTGTATTTGAAACTTTTATTGATTAATTGTATGAATGGAACCATTTATTTTCTGGAATTTTTCCCGTCAGATACAATTTAGTTCAAATAATACACATTTTTCCAGTATATGTCTGTGTTATGCCTAAATGTGTTTGTCAGTTTTGTTAAATCAATGAAATACGATGCCCTTAAATACTACTCGAGTGGAACACTTTTACCTCCGTACAGGTTGGTCTCCACATTATTTGAACAAACTCAGTACATTTTGGGTTTACCATTTGACTTAACATTCCGTTCTATAAACCCATATGCACAAAAAGTACCAGTGGGATGAAGCGGGCTGAATTTCAATGCTAATTGGACTAAAGCTATATAATTACTACAAATGGATGTCAGAATTTTGGGCTTGAATGGTGTTTTAGTTAATTAGCGCTGTAATTACAAGAACTCATTAACTTCTCCCACTGCCTCCTTGTCGGGGATTAGCTGTGGATAGGTGGGCTGCTGAGAGGAGCGCGGCGTGTGCGGCTTTTATTGTTTATGTCTGTGGGGGCGGGGTTTGTCTCTCCCGTCGTTGTTAGAAGAACAAGCGTTATCGGTTGTAAGGCTGGGAGTCACATCGGCTCTTGGAGGCTGTTATTAGACTGATTATATGTTGTTTCCATTTAAGTATTCACTCGACTCACGGCAGAGCTGCTTTTCAATGCTTTAAGTGCTTTAAGTGGCATGTGGTCATTTGGGCATATACAAAGTTGTTTTATTTATTCATTTATTCATTCAACAGCCTACTTTTTTATTTTGCAGTCGGACAGAGTTGCCTGACACGCCCCTTGATTTGCTGCAGTTACCAGAGAGCGTTCGGGCTGAGCGACTCCGCGTTAGCTCCTCTCCCACTGACAGCTCCCCACAGGCTCGAAGTAAGTAATACCAATACCAATAATGATGTGTTACACCAATGCACCCAAACTTTCCAAGAGATCTTAAATGAACTCAAATAGGCCCATCCCTTATAAACAGGTGTGCTAGTTACTGATTTATCCGACCATTGTGCTAATCATTCTATGAACAATTTATTCACATCCTGTTACAGCTAATGACATTCCAGATAGTAGGTTGTATTTCTGACAAACTTTTCTTAATAATTTGTAATACGATGGTCTGACGCAATCTTACGTAGCATAAACATATGTTTCTATAGATAAAATACTTATTTGAATGAGACACAGTAGCTTCACAGGCAGAAGGTCCCGGGCTCTGCTCTTTCTGTGTGGAGTTTTCTTTATTTCCTCCCTATGTCTGAGTGGGTTTCCTCTGAGCGCTCCGGTTTCCCCCACCAATCCAAACATGAACCATAGATATGATCCTGCAACATCCGGAGATGGGCCCTGACAGAGGTCCTAGTGGCATTGCAGATTGTGTCAAATGCAGAGGACCCATTTCCCAACTTTTAGCATTACCTGATTTAGTATAAAATCACTGGAGTCGAATCCTCCTGAACATGCAGCATTTCAGAGCAATAGTACAGTAACTGAACAGCCAGATTTGAGTCATAACAATGAATCAAAGAAACGTAACCCCCACTCTAACGCTGAACTACTAGTGTTTTAATAGTTACATTGTTCTTGGTTGATTTTTGTAATGCTTTATATCATATATTTCAAAAATCAAGGCAGAAGATATTTATCAAAATGTGATTTTTTTTCTATAAGGTGCACAACCACCTAAAGGCCCAGCAGCAAAGAGTGAGACAGAACCGAAGAACAGTGCGAAGTTCCCGTCCGCGTCAGTGCAGTCGGAGGAGAGGAGGAAGCGCCTGTTGAGATCTGAGCCAGAGGGAGCCCCCCCACCGAGCCGGCGCCGCCTGGAGGAGGCTCGGCATGAGGAGAGCGTGTCCTCTGATCTGGCCAGTGACAGCGACGGAGAGGACGACGAGGCGGACTGGGACAGCGATAGGCTGAAGGACGAGGGGAAGGGGGGCAGTAAACACAGAGCCACAGAGAGCGCAGGCCGAGGGGGCAGCTCCGGGGGGCGTGTGCACAACGGCCGGGCCGTCATCCAGCAGCTCAAGAGTGTGGTGACTCCTGCCCCTCTGCCCGGCAGCCCCAGCATCAAGACTGAACACGAGGCTCTGAACGCTCGCTGGAACTCCTCCGCACACCCACCTCAGCCCTCACACACCCCCTCCAGCAGCCTAAATGGAGACAGCCCCGCCACACCTGTCCCAGACTCCTCCTCCAGCAGCGAAGCCCCCCCCAAGAGTTTGTTCACTCCCCCGTCACCCACCCTGTCCCCCCCTATGTCTGTGTCATCCCCCCGGGAGGAGAGAGGCTCCATGGGGCGCAGCAGCGCAGGAGGCCCAGACTTTGACCTGTTGCAGAGACTAGCGGCCGGAGGAGCAGCGGCGGGGAGAGTGCTCTTCCACCCCTTAGCTCTGGGACCGCAGGGTCCACAGAGTCTCTATGCTCCCAGCACTATCCGCTATGCCCCTCCCGAGCTGCCCCCGTCCCACCACCACACCTCTGTGCACGACGGCCTGCAGCTACGCTCTGACCATCACAAGGGACCACCGCCGTCCTTCTTCCCCCACCTGCAGAGGCTGGCGGGGCTGCCACCTTTCAGCGGCTTCTCCCCCTCCGACAGCCCCTTTCCCTCTGGACTGCCCTTCTGTATGAACGGACTAAGAGGGGCTGCGGGCTCCGAGGAGGACTGAGACCACTAAATATACAAGAGACAAAGACGTGCTGACCTTAAAAAGGCAGGCGACAGTAAATAGACATGAAACCTCAAAGGATTTTACTAATTGGCTGAATAACCACTCTCTAAAGTGAGGGACAAGTGGTGGCCACATCCAACTGTGAGTGACTCTCAGAGAAAACGTAGAACTGAATATCTCTCGGACTAAAGTCTACAATGATACTAATGTCTCTTCCACACAGAGAAGCCATAATGTAAATAGAAAAGAACCATAAAGACCCTCAACTCACACTCACACCTTGATCAGTTTCAGCTCAATTACTCTATTGACTTGTCTGTTGAAAAGGTGAAACAGACTTTGAATGTTTTATTATTGCAGAATTAAACCAATCATCTCCTGGGATCAAGGTAAGAATTTGACAAGATATACTCAAATTATATGAAAAAAGTGTTTTATAGAAATATTGTTATGAGAGTAAGAAAAAAATAAACAATGAAGTCATTAACCAGCCATACCTAAAGCACATTGAGGGGGATTTGAATTGTAATAACATGGCCCCGTACATTCCATAATCTATGGGAAGAAATGCAATGCTGTCGAAAAACTTTTGTCTGTTTGTTTTGTTTTTTTCTTTTTCTCGACCTATTAATGATAGTACATTACCTAAAATTGAGCAAATGTGTTTTTGTCAGAAAGCCATATTCTTGTTGATGTTTTAGTTTGTATTGTTTTTCACAGAAGGTTGACATGGTGACAAGACCTTTATTTTAACGGATGCACAATTATGCCCAATATCTTTTTACCATTCCCTTTGGGAATTTAAAAGATAAATTGTTCTAGATTTTGTTATAATTGTTATAATTTTGACGCTATGTTTTTGAGCACTTACTAAAATGTGTTGTGTTATGAACTAAAAGCACTTCAGAACTGAAAACACTGGCTGTAATAATGATTGAACAGAGTTCAGGATATGTGGTCATTTTGGAAAATAAGCAGAAGAGTTAATTATCCAAACGCCATGTTCTGACCGCCAGAGGTCAATCACATCTACTCAAAGAGTTTCTATTTAATTTCAGTCTCCAGGAGATTTGTGCAAAACTGGAGAAAGAACATTATCAATTGTGTTGTCTTCTCTTTATTTAGATTTAAAAAATCTATTTGTACTTCACAAAGAGACAGGTTTTTATATCTACAGAAAGATAACATTGAAAATGACCTGTAACACTGTTAGCAGTAACGTTTGTCATTGTTTTAATTCATTGAATATTTTACTCTGTGGCACTTTTAACACACAAATGCTCCTCTGCTTTGAGGTCCATTTTAAAATATGTGCGGTCTGGTTTGGTGCGGACATCATGAGGTGTTTATGTCTGTAAAGAAACAGGAGCAGATCACGTGTGTGTACAGAGTGGGACATGTCACTGAGCCCCACGTCTCTGCTGTGTCCTGTTGAATTAAATAGTTCTTTCTTAACCATCACTGTGAACCTAACATTATCTTCCCATGATTGTGAATACTGTCATCAAATAAAAATGGAAACATGTAAAAAGAAAACAGTGATACAAATAAAATAACAATAAAAAAATTCCTGTAGAGGAGCACAAGGCATGGTGGTGTACATTTGTTTTATTTTAGGATCCAGATCACCTAAATATTCTGGTTCACTGTGGATTAAAACCACCAAACAGGTAATCTGTGGACATCTTTTGAAGCTGATCTATGAAACAGGTTTTCTTGAAATGAACCAGACTTGGTCCAGATAAAGTGAACTAGACCAACAAGTGCTCTGACGTATGCGGGCGGATCTTACATTATTTGTCTATTATCAGACGTACACACAGCAATATTTGAGGATTGGAGAATGAAATACTCTTAAAACATTCACTTTATGAATAGTTTTAAACTTGACAGAGCCTTGTGTACATATGAGTGTGTCACTTATGTAGGACTATATCTGGCGCATGTGTGCATATGTACATCGGTTTGTGTGTGTTGTCTGAAGGAGCCCCAGGGAGGGGCTCTGACATTGAAGACGGGTTAAATCCTGTTTTACATTCAAGTGGCAGGCCCTAGTTCATTAGAGTGAGGATCATTCCTCCTCAAGACCAAAGGAAGTGCATACTAAACAAGAGCAGTTGTTGGGGAGAAAATGCCATTGTACGTGCAGAAGCGTATGTACTGAATAAGTGAGTGTGTGTGTGCAGAACTGTGGCAGATACACTCAGGCTTCTCCTGTGCTCCTCTCACTATGGTACAACCTGCACACTGAACAGACACTGCATTACTGTGTGTGTCTGAGTGTGTGCGAGTGCACAAGTCAACACAAGTCTCCTGACTGTCGTCTTCTTCGCCTGTCATTGAATAACCTGTGTGCCCTCTCTGTCACTGACTTTGATGGCTTATCTTACCCCCTGAATTGGAGTCAAGCTCCCAGGGGAAATATCTTAGCACATGTAAATGCATTTGAAAGAGTAAAAATATGGGTATGAATAAAAGGGTGAAGGATGGAGGTAGACACCAGACAACTTCCCCACTTCTAAACAATTTCCACTTCATCTCAGAAAGACCATCCATCCTAACACAGTAATGGATTCCTGAAGAAAGATCTTTGATCCGTATGCATGGCATTTAACAGAACGTGCCTCCAAACAGAAGGTGATGCTCCCATCTGAAGGAGAGGACAGGGGGGACTCAGGACTCTGGGATGGCTGGACTGCCTCAGTTGCACACTGGTTTTCAGCTTGCGTGAGGTGCAGCTCTCGCCTAGATGGTGTTTGTCAGTAAGGGCGCGTCTCCTGCCTCTGGGCGCCCTGCCCTTTAGACGCGCCAGGCCTCGAGAGCCTGCTGCATGCCAAGCAGACCTGTGCAGCGAGAAGAGCAGCGCGAACGTGAGGAGGAGTCCAGAGAGCCAGAGCCAACTGGAGGCGAAAGAGTAGATGAGAGGCGAGGGCTCAGGGCTGGGGAGCGGCCACACTGCAGCAGCCGGACAGACACACCCTGCATGAGAAAGTGACCTGGAAACTCTACAGGAGCGAACAAACAGAGGTGAGGAGGAGGGAGACAGGGTGAGAGCCTCAACAGCAGCACCGTGTGTCGATGACTGTGAGATATCACAGACCTTCGGCCTAAGCCAGTCAGATAGTTATCGCAGACACAGCCCCCATCACCCTCCGCACACACGTTCGCAGGCCACCGGGCTTTATGGGGACATTACATATATGTGTATTAATTTTGTAATTCTTACCTTAAGTGTTATCAGAGATAATACAAAAGTATACAATGTAGACTATGTAATAGACAATATAGTGAAATACGTATTTTTGAACTAGCTATTGCATAATTGTTAATCTTTAGTGCTATAAAAACTATGACATTTATCTGTGAACTATCTTTCCCAAGGACATGATCGCATCAGTTCACCGAGGACCACAACTTCCCATCACTATTGAACTGACTGCTCTACTGATTAGGTTTATTTCTAGAGTGGGATTTGAACCATGTGTCATTATCTGCAAATCACTTTTCTGCCACAACTGTTGAACTATCCAGTGACTCGTAGAATCATCTTGTATCACAGTGATTTGATTTTTTTCGTCCAATAAAATAAAAAGGCAGATCCCAATAAATCACATTTGAGTCCCCACAGTGTAGTAGATATCTGCACGCACACAGCATCACAGCGCTCACCTCAGTCCACATCTTTACACACGTTCTGGATCAAGGGCCTCATTATAAAAATTATGCATGTACCGTGTGCCGCTGGACAGCATGCCGCTCTTGAATCCCTGCAGTATGAGAGCTGCTTTGACAGCCACAAAACTTTATACAAATCAAAAATAAGCACAAGGAAATAGATGAATGTTCAGGTAGGGGAGGTAAGGGTTGGTTGTCATACATTTTGAACTGTCTACTTTTAGACAACAGTAACTAATTATTATTTTGATCATTGATAAGTTGTTGTAGCTGTACAATCTAACAATGTTGTATCAGGGTTGTACCTTAGAAACAATCCGTAGATGCCCTGGCTCTAGCATATTAGACACTAGTATTTTGGACCAGAAAACACTTTGGAAGAACGAAAACCACTTTTTAGAAATCTATTTTATTCATATCATTTAATAGAAGGTTTGAGAATTAAAACATAGGATTGTTGAATTATGACATGGAGAGAAACATGCTTCACACGGAACGGCCCGGACCAGCACAAGAACCTGCATGAGCGCTCCCCACTCACCCACGGGAAAAGACTAAGGTCTCATTGGATTACATGCGTGATTGTGGCCACCAAGGCTAAGGTTTGCGTGAAAAAGAACAAATCAGCATAAAAATGTTGCACACTAAGTTTTATTCGATTTTAAGGTTTAGAATAAGATATACCTTGTTGTACCCATAGGGGAATTTGTCCTCTGCATTTGCCCATCCTTTCAATGCCACTGACCAGAAGCTGAGGTGGATGTCGATTCTTTACTACCTTCACTAGAAGCTGTTATAACATTTTATCTGATTGATTGATTGATTTGGAGCCATGGTTGGATTTACAGTGTATTTTTACTTGGTGTAGAGTTAAAATTATCTTTTATTACAGGATCCACCCAAACAAAACCAAAATATAAACTTAAACTTCAAACAGGTGTACATTTGGGGGTAGTGTCAATCTCCCGCAGTGCTCAATATAAACGTATAACTCCAACCTTTTGCACAGGGACATGTAAGAACCAATACAGGAGACAAATGTCATTGAACCCTTAGCATTTGTGCTATGATAAACTGAAGACTTCAGCATTTTAAAACCCACGTTCTAGAAAATTTCAAGTAGTTGTATTTGCAAAACATTAATTAAAAAAAAGAAAATCCATTCATCCAGCAGTAATCAGCGTGTGGGCACAGTGTCTTGAACTGTAAACATGTACACAGTGAGAGAAAAGAGCATACAGCTAATAACAATTCACTGACACAAAAACAGCTTTGAAAACATGCGAAGAAGTGGTCCGGCCGAAAGACTGTCACATTTGAAATGTGTCTGAAAACCGTTCACCGACATATGCACACAATCAGTTACTAGCATTTCAGATACATTGATATACAGATATATGGTTTTCCCTTAAAAGTGTTCCGGTCACTCATCAGATCTCAAGTCTGTCTATCATCGGTGATTTATCTTTAGTAGAATATTCTGCAATTATCATCTTTTTTTTAAACAGTTTGATTCTTAATCAGTCAAAAAAATGTAGTATTTAAAAAATAAACTAAAACAAATCCTTAAAGTGACTGCTTTAATCTCTTTTCTTTCAAAGTTTTCGCTGAATGCCAGTATTTTTGTACATATGTTAAGACAGTTGCAAACCTTTGTAGTATCCCCATCTACCCAGCTGAGATGTTACAGCTTACATTAGTTAAATAATTTTGAAGTCCACAAATCCTAATGAAACTTTAAATCACTCCAAATATGTCCTGGTAAGTGCTCAAGTACCCGCACCATGTTTGGGAAGCCCTGTAGGGTAATCCTGTGACCACACGGCCAAAAGTACAAAGCACAGTTCTACTTGTCGGGGCCCTTGCTGTCACGGTCCGTAGTCTCTCTCGTGTTGTTGTTACGGTAATCCCTCTGCTCCCTTCTCTCCCGGCACTCCCTGCACTCCTCCTCATCATCATCTTCATGGATGATCTCCACCTCCAGTCTCCCGATATACAGCGATACTGCGCACAGCCAGAAGAGGGCCACACTGCTCACTACAGCGGCCTGGAGGAGGAAGGCTGGGACGGACAGCAGCATCATCCTCCGCAGGGCAAACAAACTGCTGATGTATGACGCTCCCCCAAACGACACGCACACTCCTCCCAGGATGAAGAAGGCTGAGAAGAATCGTTACAGAATATCACGACCTGTTTGAGGTCAGTAGTGTCAGACTGCAGTAGTGTCAGTAGTAAACACTAACGGTTTTGTTCAGTGACATTGTGAAAACTGATGCGTCTGAAGTGAGTGCACTGAATGAAGAAAACATGAAACAGAATCATTTTCAAATCAAAATCCTGTTTTTGAGTGACCATCAAAAAGTGAGATGTTATAACGGGTCTGTTGTTGCGGCCCAAGGGCAGGACTCACATTACAATTGAAGAACCAGTATTCCCTCACACACCAGTCTCATGCTAGACAGATGCCACTGATTAGCAGCCTCGCTCCAGTTATCTTGCCCCAGGCAAGCTGTGGCTATAAGAGGTTAACGCCGGTGTGTGTGGGGTGAAGACAAAATTAACTATCTAAATCCCATAAGCGGGAAGCTCAGAATGTTATTAAAACAGTATTAGGAAACTCTTACCATATCCAGCCTCTCGTCCTACTTCACTTTGCACAAAAGCAATGACTCCAATCCCAGTAGCCAAAAGCCCATTCCGAAACCAAGAGAGAAATCCTGTATTGTGTCAAACATTGATCATTGACTGGTATTTGTGATACGTGTCAAATTATACAGGGACCACGGCATGTTTCATACACCATACTAAACTTACTTATGTAAACTGTATACTATAAATGAGATTCATATTAGGGACATGTGGAAGCTTTATTTACCCGTTTCGTGTGACTTCCGTAGCATCTGCAAGAGAAAGGACTGAGTGAGCGCGTAATAATGGGTGACAACATAAACACAACACTCACAGACGTACCAGTGCATCTGCCTTGTCCAGGTCTGTGAGCTGATAGTGCTGTTCGGGACTGCGGGCCTTGCTCCACGGGCTCTGGTCTTGTCTGAGGCGGGTAGAGCCATGCAACCTCCGGGCGTACGGGAGCCTGACGGAGCGGAGCAGGTGTGACAGTGCCGCGGGCCACTGCCTCCTCAGGCACAGTCTGAAGAGAGACATGACATCACTGTGAGGCCGCTTACCTCTGATGTTCACAGACTGAGAGCTGGACACAAACTGAGTTAACACTGTTCAACAACCGTGGATCATCAATGACAACAACACGGCCTGTGCACTTCCGCATCGACTGACGACAACCCGGAAGAGAGAGCAGCTTAGCTTCTCCAACAGCGCCCCCACGCGACAAATAATAGTAATGGATTATTTTGGATGTATTTTATTCTCATTATGTGCATATACTGTGCAAATAATAAAATAAAATAATCATGTAACATATTCAAATAAAGCAAACATTCCAATTCAAATAATGTTACGAAAATTAAGAACATAAAGCAAGTTCATACAATATGCAGTCTGTGGTTCATTCACAGGCCAACTCAAAAGGCTTACAAAACAAGATATACAAGATGTGTATTCACAGTTAATTAGAATAGTTAAAACATGGAATGAACATTATCAGAGAAGAACTGTCTCATATTTTCAAAAAGACTGTCTCAGATGTTAGCTGCATGAATCTGAAATGCATCCGCCCTGGCTCTGGGCATCAGCAGGAGGCCAGTCTCTGTGCTCCTCAGAGTCAGAGTTGGTTCATATAGCACTAACATGTCACAGATGTACTTTGGTGCAAAGTCGTGTTGTCACTTGTACACAAGCAGAAATGTTTTAAAGTCTATTCTCTGAGCCACAGGAAGCCAGTGCAAGGACCTGAGAGCTGGACTGATGTGATTGTTTGGAGAGACCTGTGAGCAGCATTACAGGCCATGGATAAGAATTTCCAAATCTACTTTAGACACTATATTTTTGGGGTTTTTTTCAGACGGTAAAACATGGCTAATGTTACTAATGATAAGTAACTGAGAGTCTATATACAGTCTATGAAAGAGGAGGGTGGATGTAGAAAAATGTCTAAATACAGACAGTTTATTTTTTCACAACTGAGATTGTGAATGGAGTTGAAGTAATTGTCAATATTCTATTTTTTGTTTTCTATTTTCAATATTCTCTTTTCAATATCATATTTCCATGTATATATTGTATGTTGTAAATGTATTTCTATGGTGAGGTTTATTTGTACAGCACAGTTTATACACAAGGCCACTCGAAGTGCCTAACAAAACAAGATCAATACAAACTTTTGTCGCTAATTACAAGGCAAGGCTTCAAGAAAAAAAAAAGTACAAATAGAAATACAATACAAAAAACAAATATAGCATGATAGGAATGTGTTTGTGTCACACTCAACATTTTGGGATGTATGAATCCATGATTTAGTGCTCATTTTGATCCTGGTGTTTTTGTGTGTGTAAATCCAGCTATGTGCCTCGGCCTCTCCCACATTGAGGCTCACACTATGGGTGACTCAATGTGGGTCACGTTTAACCCTTAATGCGCCACAATCAAAAGGTGACTTCCTATACATAGTTCCCACAGACCAATGAATGTCACATGACCTCCTCGGAGACGCCATCTTTGATGGCACGCTGCTGTGTTTGTGCATTCCATTAAACAGAAGAATGAGAATAAATGTAGATATTCAAACGCAAATTGGAAAAAAAGGGCAACTTTTGAGCAAATAATTGTATATTAATACAATGGCACCACAGTTTAACGTGCTACGGACATGTTTTACATATTTGATCAAATTATGCAGCAAAAATTAACAAGCAATGCAAACATTTCTCAAAAACTTTAGATTTAATACCAGTTGGAGCTCCATTTAATTATTTTAATTATATTAACAATTAATTTAATTAATGCTAATGCCACACGGACACTCTGGATTGCTGTTATTGTTTATTTCCGCGTTTTTGACCGTATGTTTTGGTGAATGGTGGGCAACTGATTTTTCCAGGCGTAAAGAGCAGTTTATTTTATGACACAGATCTTTTTACAGAAGCAATGCTGTTTGTGAACATTGTTTTAGCCCACCATAGAACTATTATTATCTATTTAATACATTTACGTTGCCCTCGAGAGCCTCGGACGCGACACCGATCCTCCTCATAATAAAGTAATCTAAATAATGAAACTCTCAAGTTACCAGATATCAGCATACACAAGTTAGTACTGAGTAAATTACGTCTGTCAACACACATAAGATACGATACGCACCTGACACAAAGTGCTCCGAGCATATTCTTGCGTGTTTTGAGGGAGTTTCTTGCCTGTTTATCTTCGCAAGCCATAACCTCCGTGGTTGTTCTGACAAAAGCTTAGTCTTCTCACATTCATGAAGTCTAATGATGGGTATACTGTAAAATCCAAGTTTAACAGAACCTCCGGCACGATTTGAACATCCATTGACCCAGCAGGAGATGACCATTTTCAACTTTATCACGACATTAACACGTTTCAGCTTCTTTTTCTATACATAGTTCCCACATGACGTCACTACATACGGGGATTTGCCGACCCGGCGCCATTTGTGTTGGCATTCTGTGGGCAAAACAATAGAAAAAGAAGCTGAAACGTGTTAATGTCGTGATAAAGTTGAAAATGGTCATCTCCTGCTGGGTCAATGGATGTTCAAATCGTGCCGGAGGTTCTGTTAAACTTGGATTTTACAGTATACCCATCATTAGACTTCATGAATGTGAGAAGACTAAGCTTTTGTCAGAACAACCACGGAGGTTATGGCTTGCGAAGATAAACAGGCAAGAAACTCCCTCAAAACACGCAAGAATATGCTCGGAGCACTTTGTGTCAGGTGCGTATCGTATCTCATAATGAGTTGACAGACGTAATTTACTCAGTACTAACTTGTGTATGCTGATACCTGGTAACTTGAGAGTTTCATTATTTAGCGTTAGATTACTTTATTATGAGGAGGATCGGTGTCGCGTCCGAGGCTCTCGAGGGCAACGTAAATGTATTAAATAGATAATAATAGTTCTATGGTGGGCTAAAACAATGTTCACAAACAGCATTGCTTCTGTAAAAAGATCTGTGTCATAAAATAAACTGCTCTTTACGCCTGGAAAAATCAGTTGCCCACCATTCACCAAAACATACGGTCAAAAACGCGGAAATAAACAATAACAGCAATCCAGAGTGTCCGTGTGGCATTAGCATTAATTAAATTAATTGTTAATATAATTAAAATAATTAAATGGAGCTCCAACTGGTATTAAATCTAAAGTTTTTGAGAAATGTTTGCATTGCTTGTTAATTTTTGCTGCATAATTTGATCAAATATGTAAAACATGTCCGTAGCACGTTAAACTGTGGTGCCATTGTATTAATATACAATTATTTGCTCAAAAGTTGCCCTTTTTTCCAATTTGCGTTTGAATATCTACATTTATTCTCATTCTTCTGTTTAATGGAATGCACAAACACAGCAGCGTGCCATCAAAGATGGCGTCTCCGAGGAGGTCATGTGACATTCATTGGTCTGTGGGAACTATGTATTGTTTTGCCCACAGAATGCCAACACAAATGGCGCCGGGTCGGCAAATCCCCGTATGTAGTGACGTCATGTGGGAACTATGTATAACATAAAAGAGATTGATAGGACTATTTTAATCCTGCTCCAACACACATTTCTCCTCTGGGAGACGATATAATAAATGAATCTGAATCAATAACGAGAATACATAGAAGGAAATTATGTAAGAAAAATGTAGGGAGACATTTGTGGGAAGCCAAGTCGCTGTATAGAAAGTGTCTTATAAGAGCTCATGAAGCAATGTTGCTACTTTGGGACCAAAAGGGTTCATGTCAAGCCTGAGATTCTGGCATTCAGAGTTGAATTTCACTGCTCTGAGAGGTAGAATCACTGTGGGAAGTTGGGGACAACTTTATTATTATCATTTTATTTATTTAGAGTAACCTCCCAGTTCTTACTCCTGACCAGTTGGTGGCGGTAATACATCACTGCCACCCGCCAGTTAGAAAATAGAAGTAGGCAACGCATGCGCAGTGCTGGATAAGGCATCAGCGGCTTTGGAGCCTACCATGGATGTATTATAATAACTGGATAGGGTATTACTAGCTTGTAGCTGAATAACTCACGTGCTCAGGGGATTCTCGCGGTACTGCAGACTGAACCAGACTAAATTCACGTGGGCTACCCAGAAATTTTCCCCATAGAACTCAATGCATATTAAAACAGCTCAACCTCAGCTGACAGAGAACCTAAAGCTTTAATAAAGATCGGATTTTGTGGGGATTTTAGTGTCCCTTGTCATCCTGAACTTTTTTTCTTCTTAAATCCTTCGGTTTTGTTTAAATCCACACTTTAGTGCCACAAACTCTGCTCGTCTGGCTCTCGCTCTAACTCCCGCTCTGATGAACTGCTCTGATTGGTCAGAGCGCGGCCGAGCCCCTCTGTGCACGTGCGTGAGACCTGGTGTGAGACCCACACACGCGTGTTTGATGCAACGCATTATGGGAGATCATCCACTGCGCAGAACCGGGAGGACCAGACGATGCCCAAATACAGGCGAGTTTCCCATAGATCTTTGCGAGTTTCAGGCAACTTCCGCTAATCTTTCAGCCCCCATGCTGTCACAAAGCGCCACTGAGCACAACCATTCATTTGAATCGGGCGCCATCTTGGATCGCCGGGGCTTGGAGCCTACCCGCAGCCTGTCACGTACTCACCGTGCACACGCATTGTTATGGGCTGGATTAGTGCGGTAAGGTAAGAACTGCTCTGGCAAATGCTGCTATTTCCCGAGATTAGGTTGTGTACAATGTGCTTTTAAAGGTTGTGGAATAGATCAACCTCGTTACCTGCTCTCACCTCGATGTCCTGACTTGGCTTATAACATTGTAACACATCACGTACTTTTTCTGATTGTCACAATGTAATATATTTTTCAAGTAAGTGAACAACTGCAAGTTAATGTGTTAATATGCTATTTTAGTTTGTATACATGGACCTTAGACCAAATAAAACGCCTGCTTAATAATGCTTTTATTTGTTTCCTCAGATATTCTAATTAAGTCAAACGCCTCGCAAACTACAAATAAGTTCAATGCATGTTACAAAGACAGAAAAGCCTGAGCATGAAAGTTCTGGTGGTGATCACAGACTTTTATTTTGCTCGCTCTTGAAAATGAGGAGAGGACGTGAGCTACGTGCGGATCGAGCAGATGACGAGATGAAATGGAGATCTTTGGACTGACGGAACTTTTAAATCCAAGCTTCAGCCGCGGACCAGTCCCGGTGGCAGACACTTGGGACAGAGGTACCGGGCAGCAGGTTTCCCGTGCTCCTTTTGGGGTTCACTCGTGTCTGGCAGACATGGGACTGAACGGACTTTGCGCTGCACCCGTTGGGAGCCCCACCGCTGCTGAGCTGCTCCTGGGGCTCGCCTCTCACACCGAGTCTCCTGGAATCACAACCCCAATGAAGTGGCCAAAAACTGGACTACCTCCATCTGCCACAGTGGAGGGAAGCCACGCAGGAGTTACAGCTCAAACTCCAAAGTGTTATCCAGCTCAGTTCCAGGGAACGTCAACCTGCTCTTCGTCCCCCCTCAGCAGCAGGCTCGACTTTGAGGACAATGGGGAAAATAAAGACAATGGTCTATTAATGAGGATCAATGCAGACATTAGAAGCAGGCAACTTCAGCAGAAGCGCAGAGCTGAAGAGAAAAGAGAATTGGAATCAGAAGGCCTTAATAGGATTGTAGGTAAGACTGTGGACACTGCATGTTCTTCAGGGAACTCTGAGGACATCAAGAGGAGACGGCTGGCACAAGGCAATACTAGTTATAAGTCTATTCACTGTGTGTTACCATTCCAAAACCAGCTACATGTACAAAGAGCCTCTTCCCATCAGATGCAGCTCATCGCTCCCGTCCACATCAGTAGCATGCCTTCTGCTGCTCCTCCTGCAGACTGTGTCTGGTCGGCTGAACACTTAGCCCAGAAGTTAATTGTTCCATGTATGAGGACCTATGGAATCAGTGTTAAGGACCACTTCTTAGGCCCTCACTTGGGTAATAGAATATTTGAAGAGGTGGAGTTTTTAAACCAGAGTGGGAAATTTTGTGGAGGCCAACTTGTTAGCCAAAAGGGCATCCCGTCACGGAGCATTCGAGGGGATCAGATCGCCTGGATTCAAGGCTGTGAACCAGGCTGCGAAAACATCTCCACACTGATGGCTCATATTGATGAGGCCATTATGTTCAGTGCTGCCACTGGACAGCTTGGGGACTGTGTCATTAACGGGCGCACCAAGGTGAGGAAAACCATTTTTCTCTTATTTAAAATCAGAATCAGATGCTGTTTTATTAGCAATGTTGCTGAACAAAATTCACAGGACAATACATAATCATTTTGGGGGCTTCGAGTCATTATCAGAAATCTAATGATAGGAATAACATTATGCTGCAACTTGTGGCCTACACACTTTACCCTCTGTGTTTGGCTTCACTGGTGCCAAGTCTGTCTTGTCATCAATACATTTTGGACTGTGATGAGAACTTTATCTTTCTATGTAAACACAGGCAGGCTTTGCACTTTTGTGTCCTTTCTGTAAGAGAATACAAGCCACTGTATTTTTTTTTTTATAAGACAAAATGGCCTCTGTGAAGATGCAATTTCTTTGGACTTTTCCACAGTATGGCTGTTCAGCGTCTAGCCAACTCTACAGGTGAAAATCAGAAAATGAAAATATTGTTTCCATTCGCTTCATGTAATTAAACTTACAATGAGGAAATAATATACGGTAAATAATAAGTTAAGTATAATTTAAGTTCATGAAACTATTGTACTTTCTGGAATATAAGCTGCACCTGCAACATTTTCAAATAAAGTATATAGACTGTACATAGGCTGCAGCTGTTAATGTTGTGATGTTATATGACTGTTTTAACTGGTCAGATGATTCAATTATCAGGTGCCTGTACTCATTCACCGGTCTTATCTTATCTATTTTGACAATAAATATCCTATAGCTAACAACACTTGATGTAGTCAAAAATAATAATTCCATTAAATCTGCCCAACTCTACCACAATAAAAATACACATATTAACTGACATTTCCCTACTGTGGGACGAATAAACGATATCTTAATTAGCTAGAAAAAAAAAAGTAGTAATAGTCCAGAAATTACTGTCAATAAAACATGAATCCTCAAAATGACAAAATACAAGAGCTTGACTGTGACTTTGAGTCTTTATAATATATTTCACGTGCCATATTTTATCGGATTATAAATAGTGTATAAATTGCACCAGCCAAAAAACATTAATAAATCACATTTTTGGGGGAAATTTATTTGATATAATCCAACAAGAGAAGCAATAAACAAGGTTTGATATTATGCCCATATTCTGTTTTATATCTTGTATGGCTTGCACTTGTATATAAATGTGAGAACATATGAGAACATAAACTTGATATACAGCTCATGGCTTTTGACCAAAATACAGTTTTGGGAGTTGCCTGTTCTTTCTTCAGTTGAATTTGGTCAATTTTTGCTTGCTCTTGGTTACTTCCCCTTGTCCAAAAACTCTAAACGCGTCAAGGAAATTCCTTTCCTTATCATTGACCCGGAAGCCGCTGGTCTGTCCGGAATGACGAGAACCGTCTACTGTCGTCATAATCACGCCTCCTTTATCAGCCCTTTTAGCACAGAAATGTGGGGACATGGGAGGACTCAAACGTTTCAGAAAACAATCGTATTTATGTTACACACACATAGATGAACATTGTATAATGTATACCTAATCATTTAAGCCATATGTTTACATTATTAGGAGCAGAAAGTAAACTCCAAGTTGCTGCTGGTTGTGAGGGTTCAGTGTATATATTTTAGTTTATTGTGGTTTTTAAAGATATAAAACCACAACAATCATATAATGCATCTCTGCTGTTGGGCCAAAGTAACAGGATACAGTGGAATATTTAGTTTTTCATCATCTGACAGAGGCTGCTGGGAGGATTCAGTTCCTTTACCTAATGCTCATTTCTCCTCACTGTTGACCTGATGAGAACTGTCAAAATGGAGTCAAAACAAAAATACATCTTTCTAGATGTGTCTTCTAATGTCTAATGAACTATGGCAAGTGAATCAATCACATAGAGCAATGTAAAAATTAGAATACATCCTACCGCTTTTTGGACACTCAAAGACGCTTTACAAACGGATGGGTTAATTTAAAAAAATGCTGAAAAAAAAAACAGTTTTTTTAGGCACTTTCCAATAAAAACATTATAATGCAAAGAACTCTGATGGTAAGGGCCTTACATGACTCAACGCTTTGGAATGCGATCATTATGCAAAGTACTGTCCTTTGTATGACTTGTGCGTAGTTTCAATACTTCCACACCTGACCGCCATGTAAGCAACGGGCTTCAGTGTGTTCAGTCTAAACTCCTGCTTTGTCTGGTCTGTGCGCTCATACTGGGCACGCCCTGGTAAAAAGTGTAGGCTTCAAGCTGGATCAATTGCAACGTTTGTTTGTTACACCAGCTCAGTCTGAAAGAAACAAATGTCCTGGGGTATTATAGTCCAAAACTTTTGGTCAGTGTGAAAATGTGTGTCAACTGCCAAACACAAGCAAGTGAATCATTTAACAGCCGTCTAAAGCTGACTGCATGAATTTGTTTGTGTAGCCACTAAGATATCACTAAGTTTTGTGGAATGAAGCTGTATGTACAGGTGAAAATATTGTTTATTGTATACCCACCAGGGACGTGCAGTCAGGGGAGGCAGGGGAGGCAGAGCCTCACCTGCCATTATTGGAAACTAATAATTATTTTAGTTTAAATATATAATTTATATCCACTGTCCTATGCTTTTAATGTATATTCGGCACGGTTCCCATCAGTTTTGATCATTTCTGAAGTCAAAATCGCCGAAATCCCGTTATTCCTATTCAAAGAGACGAGGTGAGGCAGCGCTCCTGCGTGCCTCACCCCAGACCGCTCCCTCACAGTGTGTGTGTGTGTGTCTGAGTGCACTCAGCTCGTGCAGTTGATATATCACCGTTTGTTTCAAATATCCTGCTTTAAAAACATTTTTTAAACTCCTCTTAGTGTTTAGTAGTGTATTGCACGTATGTGTGTACAATTTATATTTAGTTTAAGTCTTTTGATCGTAGATGAACACACAAGGAAAAAGCTTGGCGTGAGGCAGGCGGTATCTGTGCCTCACCGCTAGGGGTGATAGTGAGCATAAAGTTCATACCAGAGTTGCTAACAAACAATCAGCCCAAAATGCTATTTCTTTTGCTGGAAAATGGATGATTTGAATGAAGATTTTTTTTCTCAATTGGACTTTCAAACAAAGAAAGAATTAATATAGACTGGGAGACCACCACTGGACTTACGAGGTTAGTCCGGCTGCGGGGGAGGAGTTTGTTAATCTGTGTTTTATGTTGAACATTGACAGATACCGGCAAAGTAGTGCTTTTCCGAAAAACACTGATTCAAACACTGCTCAAGAGTTCTGCAACTTGTTTAAATTATTGTTTATGTTCCTCGCGTCTCTCTCTCCTCGCGTCTCTCTCTCCTCGCGTCTCTCGCACCTGCGCTTCTTAAAGATGTTGTTTGATGCGGAGCAGAGTCAGCAGCTAGATTTGTTGTGAGATTATTAAAAGAAGCTGGTTCTCTTATCTTTACAGTATATAAAGTTTGTGGATGTCATTGCATTGGTGATTAAATGCTATTTTATTTGAATAATGATTGTAAATCTGACTTTTAAAGTCAGTGCCTCCCCAATCACAAACCTCACCGCACGTCCCTGATACCCACATATGCCTGCGTTCACTATAGTTTTTATGATTGAGATGTTTTATTTTTACAAGCTTCACATTGTAAGTGGAATTACAGAAGTAAATGGACTTTTGAACAATTTTCTTATTTTAAGAGTTTCACCTATACAGGATGGACTTTTTTACAAAACCTTTTTTACATCAATCATTGGAGTGAACACACAAAAAGCCAACATGATAATATTAAAGTTGTGATATTATACAATCATACAATGTCATACTGGTTTGATGTTTTTTTTTTTTTTTAAGATGGACATAATTAAAATAATTGGGAATTTTGCATTTTTGTCAATCCGTACACTTTCCTGGTATCTCATATATTATAAACATTAATACATTGTTTTTATATTTTATTTTAGGCAATGGTGGCTTGTTACCCTGGAAATGGTTCAGGTTATGTCCGCCATGTTGATAATCCAAATGGGGACGGACGATGCATAACCTGTATCTACTACCTTAACAAGAACTGGGACGTCACGGTATGTCCTTTTGTGTGACTTTTTCGAGGATGAAAAAAAAGGAAGAACATTCATTAAGTTGAACAGTGTTTTTGTTTTTGTATCTTAGAAACATGGCGGCATGCTCCAGATCTTTCCTCAAGGCAAAGACGTTGTGGCCAACATTGAACCTCTTTTTGACCGCCTCCTGATCTTCTGGTCCGATCGCAGAAACCCACATGAAGTTAAACCAGCCTTCGCAACTCGGTCAGTCATGCACCATCAGTCGCTCGTCTTTCCTATTTCAATTCTTTTCATCTGGTTTTACACCCAAGGGTTTGGATTATCACGCCTATAATTCACCGTGGGCGGCACAGTGGCAGTGGTTAGCACTTGTGCTTCACAGCAAGGAGGTCATGGGTTCGGTTCCACCTCCAGGCCTTTCTGTGTGGAGTTTGCATGTTCTTCTCCAGGTGCTCCAGTTTGCCCTACCACTAAAAGCTTGTATAATGCGCCTCCTGTATGGCGACCCCGCTCTCACTTTCCCTTCTTACTTTGACATTTTGATTCCCACTTGAACTGTTCCTTAGCTGTACGGACCTACACCCCAAGTTATGTCCAAAGGATAGATACAGTACATGTACTGTATATGATACATTTTGCTGATGTCTGTGAAACTGGTGTAGTATAAAGTGGGCTCAAAGATTGGAAGTGGGTACTTCCTGGTGGTGTAATGGTGGAAGGGAAGGTTCTATTGGCTCGTGCTGGAGAGGCTCATGGGAGACAGGAATATACAACATAGCCCCATAGAGATAACTCTCAGCTGCCCTTTGCTGCAAAATACATTCTAACATGTTAAGACTTTATGATAATGTCTAAAAAGTCTAAATGGTCTGAAATAGATGTGAAAATAGTCATAAAATGTATTTTGTAATTTAACTTGCTCGTGGCAAGAGCTCTGGTGTGTGTCGTCTGGTGCACACTGGGGTAGTCTTGCACAGTTTTTCCTATGTGGTTTTACTGCAAAAGGCAAATAAATGAATCTGAACTTTTTCAATGTATATTGCTCTTACTTGTCCTATCTTTACATTCAATTCAGTTTATTTTGTTTTGTCGCATGTGTTTGGGTTCTGCCAATCCTAGCACTGAAATGTCTGTATTATCATCAGACAAAACAGATGCACGTGTCACGTGTACCAGGCTGTTTTTCTATTTGGTTGTGTTTTCTTTCTTTCTTGCAGTTATGCCATTACGGTCTGGTACTTTGATTCAAAAGAGAGGGCAGAGGCTAAAGAGAAGTATAAACTAGGTATGTACACTATGTAATGTGATCTATTTCTTCTCTCTATTGAAAACAAGACAATGAATCTTTTCTCTGTGTCCATAGCAACAGGACAGAAGGGCGTTCAAGTGCCTGTCACTCACAACAGCAGAGCTTAAATATCCTGTCCCGACTGGAGATTGATCATCGTGTGCCTTCACAAACTCTACTCTGAAGTCTTGAGTCTAAATAGAATCTTATTTAAAGTCTGGGTGACAGTTTTCTTTTAACATTTTGCTTAAAGCTGGAGTATCTAACTATCAAACCACATGCATGTATTTTTTCCTCACAGCCAATCAGCTCTCAGTGTGTAAAAAAAAAATGAAACTTTCTAAGAACATAAATATTTGCCACTGTAAATTCCACCGCATGGTCGAATAATTAGAAAAACTCGTATATATTTTCAGGGAGAACTAAACACTTGTTGTGCTTGAACAGTAAAAACTTGATTATTTTGCACATATTTTGTTGGTTAATCTGTGTGCTTTGAAGTTCAAGAAGAATACACTATAACAGTTCAGGACTAATAACAGTCACATGATGTCAGCAGGGTAAATCACAATTTCCACACAAGGTCTGGAAGAGCAGCACAGAAATATCTTATGGTATCACGGTCGTAACACAAACTTGGAACATTTCAGGGTCTATATTGTACCTGTGCTGCACAACAATTGCAAACAAGAATGGACTGACTTTTTTGTTTATGGCTTAACTTAAAGGTGCTCTTCACAGATAATTGAGACGAAAGAGGCCTTTTGCCAATGCTGAGTGATTGTAAGATTGATTATAATCTGTTTTTTAGTTTTTCCTAATCAATGTGAATGTGTCATCCCAAATCAATTGTGAACTGTCCCCTGACACTACACCATGTTTACAAGCGGGTGATGTGGTCCTCGTGTGCACTCTGGAGTCTGCTGCTGTCTCTTTTTTATGTATGTCTTTAGGACATTGTTCAGTGTTTGGACTCTGTGCACGATGGTCAAACGGTCACCAGGTCAAAATGTTGTAAAATCAGGACTGTGAAAGATTTGGTAAAATGTGGAGGGATAAACTTTTGAGATTTGAGCTTTTCTTTGTCATGCATTTAATTTCTATCTTTTCTTAGTGAAATCTACTAAGACAGCAGGACAACTGACAAAGCACAGGCGCTCACTGTAGCTGTGAGAAAGGTGAAGATACCTTATGAAGCACTTTATTACATTGTGTGAAACTGAAAGTTATTTGCCTTTCGGTGGTCACTGTCACTATTGGCCAATCAAATGCAATAGAAAAGAGCAATGAATGTATAACAAAACATTTAATAAAATGTTGTTTAAGCAACACTGTCTTGTCTTTCATAAGTGCAATAGTTACGTTTAAGTGTAAAAGAAAAAAAAATGTTTCAATAGAAAGTCATTCATAGTAATTAAATTCTTGCCCTCAATCACAGAAATTTTCTCGGAGGACTTTATAGCGGACAAAGGCGCACCCAGGCGCAGTCCGCGAGAGCAGTTCAATGAGGCTGGATTCAGGAATAAACAGATAAAGTAGATTGAGGAGAGAATGGTGCCCAAGTGTCAAGTAACCATACTTCTCCCAACAAAGTGTCTCTGTATCCAGACTGACAATTTGTTATTAAACTTAAGGTTGTATTTCTAATTCTTACCTGAGTCTACATAACCATATGAATTAAAGAGAACCTTGTATTGAATGGAAGTTAATAATAATGTGATAATATTAATATTAGAATATTTAGCTTTGTGTAACAGTGTGATTAAATTGTATTTTATTAGCTTGTATCAATAATATAATTCATTTTTTCCCCGTTCTGAACTCGCAAAACGTGCTTTTTTTTTACAAGCAAGTCTCAACTTGACCGTGAAAGGCGTTCACTTCATGTCATCAAACTCAATCAAAAGCAACAGTGAAAAGATTTAGAGGGACTCAGAATATATTAATTTAATGTATATTTCAATGTACATAGTTGTGGTTAGTATGTATCACTAGTATTTGCATGTACATCCATCATCCAAATGACTGTACATATTAAACTCGAAAAGGAGAGTCATATAAATGTGGTAAGAGCGGGACAACAAGAAGCACAACACTCTGCATGAATTTTCCAGTTAAGGTAAGTCTTTTGTAGCTTTTGTAAGTTTGCAATTTAATATTAATTCACGTGGCAATACTGACTGGAACAAATCGATTTAAAGGGAGACAGATAGTGACACCAAAACGAGAGCCTCACCACATCACTGGGACGCACAGGACCAGCCACAACCAACACATTCCCGGTCACCAGCCATACTGCCAGTGCATATCATCCGTTGGTAACGATATTATTATTGATCCATGGTTGGAAAACACTCAAAAACATGTTCACACTCTTTACGTTTGCAGTGTGGTCTTTCTTTAATACCCTTTTCTTCCACCAGGAGGCAGCACATTACCGTGTTGTTTGAAGCATGGCTCTATGACGCGTCACCAATCCAAAATTAACACAACGAACTTGTCATCATTTCGAGAGAAAAAAAACAAATTCATTCAGAGGTTTTCGCTCGAGGTTTAGGTTATTTATTTTTTGTAAACGTATTTATTTAGCTTGAACAAAATGGAATTACTCTAATTATTATATTCTGTTACCCGGCCTAATCGGTAAAAGTAAGTATAAGTAATGTTTTGTTTCTATAGCGCATTTTACAGACCAAGGTCACCCAAAGCGCTTTACAATGTTCAGAGTTCAGATATTGGTTATTTTTTATTTTTTACATTTTATTATTTCCAATTTACAACAATCGTCAAAGACGAAACATCTGAAAATAGAGAGCTCATATCAAAACTACGGAAGCTTATTGCATTCACTTGAATTAAAAAAGTTTCTGTTTTTATGAGTAAAGTTTCTGTTTTTAACTTTTTAAGCTTCCGTACAAAACAACACAATACAATATATACAATTAAAATAAAGTAAAAATAAATTAATAAACCAAAAAAGTTCATTCAGTTCGTGTCAGGGGGTTTCATTGAAGAAGTCTTTGTTTTGGAGTCGTTTGCTTTTCTTATTCATTACATACGTACGGAAGCTTGTTAGGTTCACTTGTGAGTGTGTTTTTTCCCCCCCGCTGGTATCATGTTATTTCATGATACTTTCATGAAATAACATGATAAATATCATGTAATTTCATGATACCAATTTATCATGAAATTTCATGATACCAATTTATCCTGAAATTTCATGATACCAATTTATCATGTTATTTCATGATACCAATTTATCATGTTATTTCATGATACCAGTTTATCATGAAATAACATGATACTGTAGATACAGAAGAAGAAGAAGCTGTCAGCTTCTGATAAATTGGTATCATGAAATAACATGATATTTATCATGTTATTTCATGAAAGTATCATGAAATAACATGATACAAGCAACAACAAAAAAACACTCACAAGTGAACCTAACAAGCTTCCTTAGCAGTGAGTTCATTACATTTTTTACATCACTTAAAAATAGGGGGAAATACAACAGTTCAGATATTGTTCCAATTATTCCACACACGGTGATGACAGAAGCGAGTCCAGAACACACTGGACCATCAGCTCCAACCATCACCATCCATTCACTCTCTCATCTGCATTGTACATGTTTTTAGTGGTAGGGGAAACCGTACTAAACTCCGTTTTTTTTTCTTCATAGAATGTACTTTTGTACTGTCTGTATTATTGTGGTATAGGCAACAAAGCATTACAATGAAAAAAATTAGCAAAATATAAATCAATAAAAAACTAAAAGGAAATAACTATGTTCACCTCAGTCACTGGACAGCAGCAAAAGATCTCCCATCATGAAACGTTTCATAACTTGCCATACTTAATTTATGAGATTAGACAGAATCTGGACCTCACGTGGTATGGCCAGGTTTGTTTTAAATGAAATGTACTATTCTATCCACTCTAAGGTATTCGAAATATTTCATAAAAATGAAATTCATAATATTAAATGGGGCCTTCTGTGTGGAATTTTCCATATCCATTATAAAATAATGCCGTAATATTTTTCATCTTAAAAAACTGTACAAAGACATTCATTGAATGCGTATGAGTATTGTAGGTGTAAATGGATGTGTGTGTTTTGGCATACATGTAAAAAATATACAACTATGCATGTGGATCGCTGCCTTTGCAGCCACATTATGCAATCTATGCACAACCATGGATATTTTTTCAAGTTGTATTTGTAATTAATAATCTAGAAGCAAACAATTCATACGGTGAAATAGTCAGTATAAAAAAGTGGTGGGATTAAATAAGTTTCTACTTCCTCCCACTCCCTTTTGTACATGGAATGAGACCATTTATTGTAATAATTATCATTTAATTTATGGATGCCTCTTATCTATGATCAATTTAACATGATTATTTATCTATTTTGGTGCTTTTGTATCTAATTATATATACATGCAGCACTACCGGAAATATGCAAACACTGTTTATTGTTAGGTCAGAAAATGAAAACTCTAGGAGGAGGTTTGACTTTAAATATCAGTTTGCACGAACAAAGGGGTATAACTGTGGAGTTGTTTAAGGCAAAAAATATTGAATCATATCAACTTCTTGAGTGATTGGATGCATTGTTTAAATGCAAACATTTGCTACAAAACATATGTAAATGTTTTTTTTTTCAAATGGCTCCATGTGAAAGGTCAGGGTAGATATGATTTTGAAAAGGGGCAGAAAAACAAAAGAATTGTATTCTTCTTTTCTGCTCCTTTTCTTCATGTAAATGTTTAAAATATATGTATGTAACTATTATTATGTGAACAGGTGAACAAAGCATTTTCATGAAAGGAACAAATAAATAAATACAAAAATACATCTCTCTTTGAGTATCTTCCGGAGCAATCCAAAATGGCCGCGAGTGGTCCAGCCCACAAGAAAATTGTGAAAAAAACGCATCTGCGCATGCGTCAGCCGGCGCAACTCTATTCATTTGAACGAGAGACTTCAAAAATTCACAGCAAGTAAATTAGAGTGGACCAAAAAAATCCACCCCCCTCAGCATTGACACACATGTGGAACGGAGCTTTGGGCCCAGAGCCAACTTTTGGTCCATCCTGTAAAGACGTTTTTGAGAGGTCTG